GACCTAAGGGGGGGCGTGAAACTGTTGGGGGGCGTGAAACTGGAGGGGCCTGGTGTAATTCTCACCAAGGAATGGGAGGGATGCGGGGGCATACATGGGAACGGGGGTAGGTTCGAACTTCCCCGGGTCACTGGCTAAAGTGACCCTGCTCAGTTCGGTCTCGAAGGGGGGAGAGATGTGACGAACTGGGACTGTTCTTGCTGGGGTGTGTGAGTGCTGGCGGGGGAGTGTGACTAGGATGGTCTGCATCGGGGGATGGGAGTCTGCCCAAGGGAACATACCTGAGTGTGTAACATGAGAACCCAGGAGGGGGTTGGAGGTCAGATGACTCCGGGGCCCGGGAAACTGAACAAAGGCTGTGGGAGGGGTCGCTGAAGGCAGAGGGCTGGAAGCAGGCTGGAAGGAGGCTGGAGAGATGGCTGGGAGGCAGAGATGGCTCTGACCCCCCAAGGGGGTGGGCTGGCATGCCCTGGGACCCCAAGCTGGACCCAACTGAGGGGGGCCCTGTTGTCTGTGCCTGCAAGACCTGTCTTGGACTGTATTCCTGTCATCCAAATAAACCTTCTGCTTTACTGGCTGGCTGAGAGTCATGGTGAATCGCAGGAAGCCGGGGGTGCAGGGCCCTGAGTTCCCCAATACTCCGTGACAGCCCCGAGAACAGCCGGCTTGGCCAGAGAGCTCCTTGGTGCCCCCCCAACGCGCCGGGCTCTGCTGGCAATCCCGGCCCCGAGACACGCTCTGCAAAGGCCACCAGCCCTTTAACTCTGACACCTCCGGGGCCAGCTGCTCCCCAGCCCCCCGCGGGGTCGGAAAAGTCCCGAAGGGGAATTTCCCACCGTTTGCCTGTAACATACGAACAGTTCCCTTCGCCCCCTGCCCGAGTCTCTCCCTTACGCTCTCTTCACACGGGCTGGGGGCTTTCGCTTCCAGTTATTAACGTCATTGACCTCCCCGCCCATACCGGGCCATGGAGCGCAGACCCTGGTCCCTGCCACGCTGCACCCAGCTCAGCCCCACAGGCGAGGGAGACGTGGTATCCCTGAGTCCGCTCCATGGCTGGAGATACGGTGGAGGGGGGGATGTAGCGTCTTGCGATTCAGCTGATCCGAGTAACGGACCCCACAGCCCGTCTCCGTTGCACAGACCCGGCGATCCCAAAGCCCGTCTGGTTAGTGTCGAACCGTTTTCACAGTGATCCCGTGGGTCCATCGCACGTGCCCCGTGCGGCTGCCTCCCCAGCTGGGGCAGAGCTGCTGTGCGGCTCGGAGGCGCCTTCCCCATCGCTAGGAGAAGTGGTTAGAGGCGGTGGTTAAAGCCGTTCCCCTCCCGGCACAACTGTTCCGACTTTAGTGTTACAGGCGTTTCCTGCTGGGCCTGGGGTCTCCCAGCCACCTGCTTCCCCAGCGGGGCAGAGCTCAGCTGCAGCCAGACGTCCCTCCAGCCAAGGACACGGGAGATTCCAGCCCTGGACGTCCTGGGGGTGTCTGCCCCGCTCCGGAGGCCTCCCTCCCTCTGATCCTTGGTCTCCGGAGAGCAGCTGGTGTGCACATGGGAGGGCCCCGTGCTGCCAGCGAAGAGGCCATGAACCCCCAGGCTCTTGGCATTGCTCAGCATCCCGAGGGTTAACAGGGGCTCCCCGGGGGCAAAGGGGTAAAGCAGCAGCGAGGAGCCCCAGGGCTCCGGGTCCTGCACTCCAGGCCTAGACGCTGTGCTCCAGATCAGGTGTGTTCTGTGTGGCCCCGTTCAGGCTCATCTGCTCGGCCGGCTTGCCCTGCTCGGCCTGCTTGGCCTGCTTCCGTCTGAGCCGGTAGTTTCAGATTCTCGTGGAGCGGTAGTACATGTAGCCCCCCACGCCTAGTCCGGTCAGAACAGCAGCCGCACCTACCAGCCCCAGTGTCAACACCACGATGTTGAGATCTGTTAAAGAAGGAGTGAGGTTGAGAAGGGCTAAGAGCTGGTTCAGACTCATGGGTAGGGCAGGGGGCAGAGGACTGGGACTCAGGACACCTGGGTTCTACTCCCCTCAGCCACTGGTCTTGGGTAAGTACCTCACCCGCTCAGTGCCTCAGTTTCCCCTTCCACTCTGCCTGGTTAGATGGTGAGCTCTCTGGGCAAGGACTGTCTCTCACGCTGGGTCTGGGCAGCGCCCGGCACGACGGGGCCCTGATCTCAGTTGGGGTCTGAGCAGCGCCCGGCGCAATGGGGCCCTGATCTCGGCTGGGGTCCGGGCAGCGCCCAGAGTGACGGGGCCCTGATCTCGGTCGGGGTCTGAGAAGCACCCGGCGCAATGGGGCCCTGATCTCGGCCGGGGTCTGGGCAGTGCCCGGTGCAACCGGGCCCTGATCTTGGCCAGGGTTTGGGCAGCGCCTGGCGCGACGGCGCCCTGATCTCGGTTGGTGTTCTGTCATATTACACATAATTAGTAGGAGGACGAGTTGGGACAGAGATGAACCTGAAAACCGCCAGACTGCAGGACGCTGGACCCATCCCCGCTCGCTCCGGGGTGGGAGTGATGCCTGGACGCACCCCCTGAGCCTGGGGGCGGGGGGCTGTGCCCTGGCCAAGCCTCCGGAGCACAAGCCACACCGATGGAACAGCCAGATGGGATCACTGGGCCTGCCAGTCTGCCCTCCAGCAGGACGCCAGGCCAGAGAATGGCAGCCCGGATCCCTGTACTGAGCCCCCGCGGCTTTGTGGGGTGTTTGGGCTCCTAAATCCCATGGAAAGTCAATGGGATTTTACCTGAAACCCATTAACCTGTGCTCCTAAATCCCTTTGTCGCATTTGCACGCCCACCCTCCAAGTCGCCTGCTGGAGGATCCACTGAAGGCCACTTACATTCCACCTGGACGGTCACATCCCGGCTGGCCGAGCCGTGCGCGTTGGATGCTTTGCAGTGGTAGGTCCCGGCGTCCTCTCTCCTGACCTGCCGCTGCACCCCGATGCTGACGGGCACCCCGTCCTTCATGCACTCCACGGCTGGCGCTGGGTTCCCCTGGGCCAGGCAGGAGAAGGTTTGCTCCGTCCCCTCCTTCCAGATCCACTCCCTGGGGCAGCCGGAGTCGTTCATCCTGGGCCCGTCTGGAAGCGAGAGGGGGCGGTTGGTTACGCTGCCCAGGGCCGTGTAGCCCCATCTCCTGCCCGCCCCTGGGGCTGCTGCCAAGGACAGCGGCTCTCTCCTGCCACAGGCGCCTCCTCGCTGGGCTCCCCCCACTGCCCTGCCTGGCGCCAGCAGGCCTTGCCCTGGGGTAGCACGGGGGGCCCGGCGTGCAAGGCAACGGACTGGACTTGGGAGCTCTGGGGTCAAGCCCTGCCTCTGCCATGGCCGCCCGGTGTGACCTGGATCTGAGCCAAAACCTGATAAAGTCACGAGAAGGCCTCAGGTTCCCCATCTGTAAAATGGGGCCAGGGATTCCTCCTGTCTCATTAGCCTGGGAACATTCCCTGGGGCAGGACTGTATCTGGGCAGCACCCGGCGTGACGGGGCCCTGATCTCGGCCGGGGTCTGGGCAGCGCCCGGCACGACGGGGCCCTGATCTCGG